ATAGTTCTCTTTAATTTTCCATGAAATCCAGATATAAAGTTTCTATAATATAATAAAATCTATAAGCTATGTGTCTATGGAGTTTAGTCCTTGGTTTGTATTTAATTAAATAGAAAAAAACCCAGCAAGTATTATGGCATTGTCTCGGCTCTGAAGCTGGTATATTTCTATAGTTAGTCAACAGTGAAAACTTCATTCCTGACTGCTGGGTAGAGTTAAAGACAAAAAAGGATGTTTTGAAAGTGCTCTTTGAAGTGTGAAGTATCTTAGGAGAATGTTGCCACGTGGTTTCATTCAGTTCTTTGGTAGGGTTAGGGATGTGGTTATTACTTTAGAATTTTTTTTTCAGTGATACTGACATAGTGAACGTGTGTGCTCTGGAGTTAAAATCACCCCCTCAGGATGGTAGGCCTAAGTTTCTGCCTGGAAACCAGCTGGGCCTAGTTAGAGCAGTCATTTCCCCAACAATGTGTTACTTTCATGATGTTTATTTGCTTTAAAACCTTTTTATTCTAGCTTTCTTTTTCTGTAAACATTCCATGTACATCATTTCTTAAGTCAGACCTCTGGCTTGTCTTTGTAACCTGTAGATAATGTGGAAGCACAAAGAAACTCATCCACTCATGCCACTTTAGGTCCTTTCCCACCTTGTTTGTATTTTCTCATCCTGAAAAGCAGCTTGAGAGTAAGTAGTGTTGCAGCAGACCAATAGATTTAAAGTGGAATGTCTGTGATACGCCAGAGAGTGGGGAGGCTGCCTTGAACTCCTAAATAAACCTTTTATCATTCATTCATTCCTAGGCATTCATTCAGGGCCTGCTTTGCATTGAAAAGCAAACTGAAAGCTTAGGTTCTCTGCTGTAGTTGAGGAGCCCTAGGAGACAAGCCCTGGACGACTGGAGTGATGGTCCTGCTCAACAAAAACACCTGAGGGGATTTTGGTCCCTCTGCTAAGGCTCCAGGTCCTTTTGAGCATACTTGTTTTGTCTAGAAACCCAAAGAGTCCGTCACCTCTAGAGACCTTGTGTTCTGGCCACTGGTTCAGACTGAGCCATCTGTACTGTTTAGGGTTAAAATCTAGTGTACCTGGTCACTTTGCAGTAGAGTTGGCCATCTGTGTTTGTTTGAAGTGGATGTGAGATTATTTGGGGGGCGGGTATTGTCATTCCTTTAAAATAACTTATGAAATAATAGGAGTGGCATGTAAGGGAACAGTGGATTAAAGGGAATATGGATTAAAGAGTTGATAACAAAGCTCATTTATTTCAAGTAAATCCTTTTAAAAGTAGATGAACATCCAATGTCACGTTTCATTCTGTCAGATCACTGAACAGTTGCAGTTACTGTTTCTATGTAGATTGTCATTGAATACGAAGGTAATTACCACTCTGGGTTGGATTTTTGAGACAGGATGCAAATCATAAGCACAGTTTCAATAAAACATTCTGGAGGTGCATTGACACTTATATTTTGGAGCTGAGAAGGACAAACTTTGCTGACAAACCAGTGCCTACCATAAGAAAACTTAAGCCATTAGTGTGTGGGCTGCCCTTGCTTTAATTTCATAAAGGGTTCATTACTGATCAACCTGTGTCTTTCAAGGGGAACCCAATACTTTTATTTAAGTGAATGCTTGGTATCTCATGCTGCCTTTAGATCAGTTGCCAAACTGTTTCGTAGCTGCATTTTGAGCATGAGCAATCATTTTTACCCCCAAATAATGAAAAAAGTTTTGCATGCCTCCGTCCAACCCAGAAAGCATGTTGTTACTACCTATGCAAGCAACCAATTAAAAAGCATATAGAGACACTACATGAGATGTTAAGGTTTTTTTTTGTTGTTTGTTTGTTTGTTTTTAAATAAAAGGCAACTCAGATTTTGGAGCTCTATTTTTGAATCTGTAATTTTTAAAATGTGGCTTAATCAGTGTAGGTGAGCATGGGTGTGAGTTTGGGTTGCTTTGCATCTGGTTCTCTGCCAATCTTTTTGATCATTGGTGAGACTGTATAAAATCGTATTTTGCAAGCAGGAGTGGAATTGGATATGTTGAACATACACTGGTGTATATACTGTATTTAGCTTGAAAACTTTCCTAAAGTATTTTGTTCTAAAAATAACCTGCCATTTTCTATAGATTTTAATTTTTTATATCTTCTAGGGTTCTGTCATCACAAGGAGAGAATGTGGCTTCAAATAGTGCTAACAATTTTAAAATGCTTATAGAGCGGGGAAGCCACTTAGAAAGGCTCTGGAGCTTCCTCCCCGCTGGTCACAATAAGTTTAATTAAGGCCGTGGAATGTATGATAGAATTGTACAGTGTATTCAGGCCTAGATCCATCCCATCATTCAGATCCAGTGTTTTCCATGGAGTCGGGGTAGGAGACTTGCTGTGGATCTTACACACACTGTGGTACCCTAGCCTCTTTTCGGTAGCTTACCTGAGGTTTTAATACCTGAGGTCTCTCGGATCATCTAGGAACTTTGTAATGCCTGGATCCCTCCTCCCAAGCTTTTGATGCAAGTAACATTAGGGCCGGGTCCTGTGAATTACAAAAGTTCAAACCTCCTTCATGTTTCTCCCATGCAGTCAGAATTGTGGTACACCATCCCTTTGCCAAGAATTATGGTAAGAATCATCACTGCCATACAAAGTACTCAGGAAGGACTCCAGTTGCATTAGACAAGAAAATTTAAAAAGGGAACTAATGGTGTCAACTTCTTGCTTGAAATGTGGGGCCTTTCTGATTTCAAGGTCCAATCTGGGAGTGTGAAACTTTTTATGGTGGTCTGCCACCTGCTAGTCTGATGAAGATTGGTTTTAGTTGCTGGGGCAGGCAGGCAGAGTGCCCCAAGGGGTCTGACCATTTCCATAGCCTCTCCCCAGATTCTACCATGGGGCTGAGACCCCCATGTGGGAGTAGGGAAGTCGCTCCAGGCTAGATAATGTGGAAGAAGAT